TACGCGTGGATCTCGTTTTACTCCCCCTTCATCTATCTTACGCGGTTCAGATTTTTCATACAAATGTTTTTTCCCGCTAACTCCCGTTTCCGTGGGAATTTTGCAATATCCTGTTGTAACTAAGCTTTAAGTTTACTAAGGTACCTGCATGCCAAATTTCAAGAGTCTATCTTACGCGGTTTAGATTTTTTCATACAAATGTTTTTTCGCACTAACTCCCGTTCCCGTGGGAATTTTCCAATATCCTGTTGTAACTAAGCTTTAAGTTTACTAAGGTACCTCCATGCCAAATTTCAAGCGTCTGACTTAAGCGGTTTAGATTTTTCATACAAAAGTATTTTCCCGCTAATTCCCGTTCCCGTGGGAATTCCTAAGTATCCTATAACATGCCCAGGAGTATGAAAAATAATTGTACCAAGTTTCGTTAAAATTCGTTGAGTAGTTTTTGTTTCTATAAGGAACATACAGACAGACAGACAGACAGACAGACAGACAAAAATTTTACTGATTGCATTTTTGGCATCAGTATCGATCACTAATCACCCCCTGATAGTTATTTTGAAAATATATTTCATGTACAGAATTCACCTCTCTACAGATTTATTATTAGTATAGATGACGTATATAGGTTATAGGTACAGGTTTTTTTGCTCGAAGCGCCTGGCTAAGGCTTCCCTTAGGATCGGTGTTGTAGATTTTAAGGTTACTTCAAAAATAACTTATCTTTGGATAGGGAAAATTGCATGAAGTCTAGACGCTTAACATAAGGCTCGATTGAACCCCTTCAAAACAATTAAATTGATTCTAGCTTGTAGCCAACTTAATTGACCAATACTTACACGAAGTTCTTCTAAAAAGTATGCCATTAAGAATATTTTTATCGCCAGTTGGCAAACCTAACACACCAATTTTGTTAAATGTTGAAACACTTGTTCACTTTGTCGTGAAACTCTGAAATTACCCTGCATCCTCCAGCAAAATTAGCACGTTCTTATTCCTTTGCCTTTGCGTAATTAAAAAGTAGTCCGAATTAATTCCGTTGGCGCTCCTTGCGTCGTTTTTAATATGCGAGGTCTGTTCTAAGACCGCAGCCGTGCGCAGCCGTTCATTATTCGTTGCGATTAAAACTGGGCGCATATCGGCCACTGTGCCATACATGTGTGTTTGGTGCAAGATGAATGGGAAGCATTTTGGTTTGAATGTTCGCCTTTTTGGAAATTCGAAAAGAGAGACAGATTAATATCTCACTCGTTGTTAACTGGTGTTGATGACCGTAATCTTTCGGCTGGGAATGGGAAAGCGATCTAGAGCGATCTAAAAAGTCGGTAAACGCGTTAAGTAGGCAGTAATGTAGACTCGCTTCTATATTCGTTATTATTGTTGTAAGTTAACCCAACTTTGGGTTGATTATACTGGTCATCATCCTACAAGCCAAAACTTCTCGATGGAACCAGTTAGTTTAAGCAATCCAACATTGGCAACACTCTTAGCGTTTGCCTTGGGCTTTTCGCAAAGGCAATTTCCTTAAAAACGGTGTTCGATGCTTCAAAGCAGGTGACACGCGTACAGCGCATGACTCAATATCTTATGTCCCCTGGGACAGAGCGTCCCATTTCAGCCCGTTTGAACTTCCCTTCGATTCGCCGCACTCGAGTGCAGTTCGAGGCTACGTCTATTTGATCTTCGCTACCTTAAGATATGGCGACATCCTGTTTTAGGATTTTATAGAAATGTAGAGAATGTAGCATGAAGTATGTAGGTCTATGTCATATAAAAGTGCTTGAACGTATTTACATCTGACCAACAGTACGGCAGTAAGCCTAAAATCCTTGCACTCTACCAGTGGATGTCATAAAAGTTGATGCCACTGAAGAACAAAGCGAGTATCAGGCCTTTTCAACCCGTCTGGCTAACGTGGGGAATGTAGACTGGAACCTCCATTTTCCTCTGGTAAAAACGGTAGAGTTGTTACCCTGCAGTGGAGACTAACATACCTGATAATACTGTATTGTATTGTATTGCTGTAGGAAGGGTTCATCATCATCATCGTCATCATTTCAGCCATAGGTCCTCCACTGCTGAACATAGGCCTCCCCCAATGATTTCCACAGTGGCCGGTAGGTAGGTGGCGGCCTACATCCAGCGCCTTCCTGCTACCTTTATTAGGTCGTCGGTCCACCTTGTCGGTGGACGTCCTACGCTGCGCTTTCCGGTACTTTGCCTCCACTCCAGAACCTTGCTGATCGGTCGTCAATTCAGTCAGTAGGAAGGGTTAATAATATTAAAATTTCTCTTCAGCTTAAGACTTGGGCGTACCGCAATATGGCAGCGGTCCCTGCAAGCGTGTGTTTAATCAGCGGCTGAGGCCGGGACGATCTAAGCAATAAAACAAACGACACGGCGCATAAACAAACGTTAAATTAATATAGTTGCGGCGGAAAGTTCCTGTGTACAGCTGATTGGCCATAAAATAAACAAATTGCCCGGATATTTTTCCAGGAGTGGATTTAGAGTAGGCTTCGTGAGATCGACAGACTTCAGATGTCAATGCCTGCAAGCTATTAAGTGACTTATCGTTGTTTAATCACCACGTACCTACTTAAGTCATTTTTAGCAACTTTTCAGGAGATTGAACAAAACGACGAGTCTTTTTGTTCAATCTTTCTCTAGTCAAAGCTAGATCAAAATGGCAAAACCGCCAAAAAATTACTTACGTGGTGATAGACTTAACCGACGTTATGTAATAATGACGGACTGGATAATTATATTACCTATATAATCATCTTTTAATTAAAATGTGTGTTTGTTGTAAAAAACGTCAACACTAATCATTTTGCTGATGTTTATTGTTAACTTTTTAGAGTAAATTACTGATTGTCTTAAGATAATTGTGCATCTGTGATTTAGTTTAGTTAGTGTTTTTGAAAAATAAACAAGCTTTTTCCAGCAATAAAACTTACTCCGTAACATTCTTGAATTATTAGATTTCTATGCAAAATAATATTTTAAAATTAGTTTTAAAAGAAAAATCACATTTCATAAAGCAGGTACGTTCACAAAGTTGCTGCGACTCAAAAGGTTTCAAAGCGCCGTTCTTCAGGATATTAAATAACTTCATTACTATAAAGAAGAAGCGATTCCATCGCAATCTAATTTTGTCGTTTCTTTAATTTGACTCGACCCACTCCATTAAGTAGATCGAACAAACGATCCTTCATTTTGAACTGTTTTTAAGAAATTGTACCTAATAAATCACTGTTTAAGATATTTTTGGAAGATAGCTTGGTTTGTGGCTTGGTCTAGGCATAACTTTGCTGGCAGAAGTTAAAGGATTCACAAGTATGTTACTTATTTGAAATTACGTTTATTTGTTAGAGTAGGCGCACACCGTTGATTTTTCGTCGGCCGATAGTTTAGTCGGGCAGTTGATCAGTATGGGCATGTATGGGAGTACGCACACTACGCCGATTCGATTTGGCCGATTCTTCATACAATTTGAAATCGGGCACAACTATCGGCCAACTAAAAATCAACGGTGTGCCCCTACTTTTATACTTATAGTTGTCGTAGTCTTAGTCGTGATTATATCTACATACATAATAGTAACACGTCAAGTTCTGCTTAGTTTGGGAGTTTTTGTAACAACCTAAATTTTAACGTGGAATTATTTCCAAAACTAACATGATAACGTCTCTTTTGTGTATTTCTTCCTTTTACCTTGTTTTGTATGGTGTAAAATAAAGTTTTATCTATCTACTCGTATGTAATGGACAGGTATAGGGTACAGGGTGAAATCTTGTAATGCCTCCTGAAGATAGAAAATTATACTCGAAGAAAATATTCCTTTAATTTTTTTAAAGAAAACTGCATTCAAAGATTTTCGAAAATTCCAACTTATATAGCGCGTTACATTGTAATTAATACATTCCATAAAATTATTAAACCATTTCATCGCTATAGGTCCCATTTCGCTTCATAGTTTTGCCATTAAAAGGTTATTGACAGCATTTGGCTGTATATACATAGGACGTTAAGAACAAAGGCCCCCTAAATTACGGTATTTAAGTTTACACCGCGTTCAAAACGCGCCAAATTCCCATTACAATTATCCTATACGAGCACAATTCGAGTGTTTCCAGTAATGCGATTACGCGTACGAAACCATTATTTTGTACTACGTAAGAGGCTTAAGGGTATTTACAGATTCGGCGTTTTGGCACGCATTTTTCCACTACTATGGGGTCGAGGGATAATAAAGAAAAATTATCTTCCATTCCGAGAACTAGTGACAAATATAATACGTATCTTAGTTAGAAGCTATAATTATGAGCTTACACATATTTATATTTTATCATAATATTAACCAATGACGGTGACTTCAATCAATGTACTATGTGCGTCGATTCGACGAATCTTAATGGATAAATAAATTTCATATTTTACCATGTAAACATCTCTCAATCTTTCGCTTGACAATCATGACATACTTGTCCGGTAGAGTCTAAGCTAGCAATTTCTAGCTTCATTTTAAGCTACAAAAACAACTAAATACAACATATTTTAGGAAGTGGAAGAGAGTTCGAACTCGCGTCTAGAACGCCCAGTTTGTAGAGTCTCTATATTGCCCTGGCTTAATAACGACTTAGTGTCAATTACTCCATCGTTGTTATTTATAGAGATGCGCATTTTGTCAGATATTTATTGTTCTGTACTTGCCGTAATAGGAAAGAGATTAAAGAGCTTATGGAAGTGGGCTGTTTGTCTAGGTCTGATTTATTGAGAAAATTATCTGCTTCGGATCTTGTAACTAGCTGCCAGAACGAAGCTTTGTTCTGACATTATTTTTATGAATGTGGTAGTTGCCTTACCTATAGTCTATACCTAGAGTTTTTGGAAGTCTATCCAAATTATTATTTAAATCTATTCCTTTGTGTTGTTGAAAATTAAAACTATTTAAACTTCGGTTAGACGTTTTTGGGGATTCAACAAAAAAAACCATCTGATGCTAGAGGTAAGTATAATTTTATTTATTACCTGACCTATACAGATCTTAAGCGTCCACTATGATGACAGGGCTGGGCTGGTCGACAATGTTGATAGGTTCAGGGACCACTGCAGGCTGGTCGACGATGGTGATGGGTGCAGGGACTACTTCAGGCTGGCCGACAATGGTGATGGGTCCAGGAACAATTGGCTCAGCTCCTTCGATGCTGATAGCCTGACCAGGGGCAATCTGGGCGGTGTTGATGTTCAAGATAATCTGCACCAGAGGAGCACTGGCTTGGCTCTCAGCAGGGGTTTCAATGATAACTGGCTCAACGTGGATTGGGTGGAACTCACCATCGTCGACGATGACGGGGGAGGGCACGATGGGTCCATCATCAATGATGATAGGGGAAGGCACGATGGGTCCATCATCGACGATCACAGGAGAAGGCACGATGTGTCCATCATCGATGATAATAGGGGAAGGCACGATGCTAGGCTCTTCAATTATAGCAGGTCCAACATGGATAGGTTGGTATTGCCCGTCGGGGATGACAGCGGGGCCAATGTGGATAGGCTCAAACTGGTCTTCTACAATGGCGGGGCCAACATGGATCGGCAGGAACCGAGTGGGGCCTGCCACAGCAACGGCGACTAAGGCAGCAGCGATTAATAGGAACTTCATGTCTGCTGCAAAATAATTAAAAAATTACACACAAGGAATAAAAATCTAAAGGTCATATTTTAAGATTTTCTAAGACTATTTCAGATGATTTTAGTCAAGAATTTGATACTAATAAGCTTTCTCAACGTACCTGTTTTTGTTGGTTATTACCAAACTATGCTGAAGTGGCGTCTGCTATGCATTTTATATGAATTATTATCACTTCTCGACAAGGATAATTAATTGCAGATAATCTTTTATTATCCATTAATCCATCACTGATAAGCCGTCAATTTACTGCTTTAGATTAGACACGTCCGCGATTGTAGTAGATCCGATGTTATAAACAATGAATTTTCACTTATTGCAAGCATATAAATCCTTTTCAAATGAAATTGGTTGCGAAGGCTAGTTGCCAAAAAAAATTTTTTTAGTCCGTAATGTTTAATATCAAAAAATATTGGACACATATATTTTTATTTGTCAATCTAACAAATAATTACATAGTTATGGTGCGTTGAAGTTGCGCACGACGTCACAACGTGCGGCATTTTTAAGCAAGCGTTGACGTCACGGGCCTCTTCTTATAAACTTTGGGGCGCTTTATCTCTTTAAATTTTCATTAGTTTGAAAAAGTGAAAAATACGTGTAGAGTATTTTTTGATAAGTTAACTGACGGACTAATTAAAACTCTTGCTTTTTGACCCAGGCAACATCCCCATTATATGCAAGTTTGATAAACATGAGCATATTGAATTTCACATGTCCGAAAATGAGCATATCGATCTAGTCTCATATAATTTATTAGTTATCATCATCATTTTAGCCACAGCCTACTGCTGAACATAGGTCTCCCCAAATCATTTCCAGATTAACCTATTCCAGCTCCTGTACCTATATTTCTAGCATTATTACCGCTACTTAACTTGAGTCCGGCTCAACTCGCCGCTGTGTTCGCACGCGTCCACGCAAATCTCAGTGCAAAACCACTAAGCTAGACCCCTATCATACGGAGCTTATCGCGTAGTTATCGTGTCTACGTCCGCTGGTCGCCGCGATACGGTAGAAACCAACACGCAAGACCTCAGGCATATGGACATTAACCCGGGCGCTCGGTGTCTCGTTTGACTGGTTACGTGTGTCACCGTGAATTTCTTCCCTGTTCCTCTTGCTTGCGGGCCATTTGTTGGAGTGAAACGGAAATAACAGTGCAGTGTCTGCCGTTACAAATTGAATCGCTTGCGCACCCGATATTTGGTTTGGACACAGAATACATAATAGTAGCAACAGAAATTGCACTCCTTTGTGTAGGATCAGATGCCGACATTTTAACGGTAATAATAATAATGCAAAATATCCAACGCACATGGTGCATTCGAAATCGCACCTTACTACTACGCTCACAAGAGCGAAATTTTTTTGTGTTCAGAATTGATCTACCTCACAGCTCCAGCGTCAGGGTTGTATAAGCAAAATAAAAACTTAATTTTAAGAAGCATTTATTGTATTTACGATTGGTAAACTTTTATCTAGTGGTGTTTGTATAATCGTACCATCTCTAAAGTACCTATTAATAAACTTCAGTGTTACGATAATTCGAAATTGGACATACATTTTTAAAANAAACATTGTACTAAAAGTACAAAAACTGGGCCTAAATTGTTTTGTTTTATCATTTCAGTTAATTTTTTTACGCAGGTCGGGATTTTTTATAAAATCTAATATTTTCGAAGCATGGATTATCGCATTTACATTGCAAATAGGCATTTTGGAAAATCTCACGTAAGATTAGGGAGTGGGGGAGGGGGTCTGGCAAAATCTCATGAAATCTCACTAAGGGGGGCGGGGGGGTTAAAAAATAGCCAAAATTGTCTCACGTAATTAATGGACGTCCCCTTTCGCGCACTGTCAATCGCGAGGCGAGGCGTTTACGTAACGGTGCGGACAAGTGTGCGATGACTGAAAGAATACTGACCGACTCGAGTTGATACGGTTACGATCCCTTTCCGGGTTGATAAATGTGTTCGAATCATCCTTACCTACCCAATGAAGTGGTTCAACAATGTTTCTGACTACGGCTTCATAAGTGTCAGAGAAAGGCTTTTTTATTGCGCGTACTCTACTTACCTGTCAATTTTCAGATTGGGAAATTATTGGTTTCCTATAGAACTTTTTTCATCGCCTATTTCACCTCGCTATAAATTATTTTTACAGAAAAAGGACAAAAGCTCCTGTCTACCTAGTCCTGTCAAGGCTATCGTCCTTTTCCTAGATCCAATCTCTGTCTATATCAAAATTTTTTCAGTGTTTTAGTGTGAAAACGTAACACATACGAGTAAAACAGAGTTAGAATAATATTTTTGGAGAGGCCTATGTTTAGCAGTAGACGTGCTGTTTGTAATGATGATGATAATACTAATATTTCCTTTTAAGTTAGCCTCTTAACATATTTATTGATTGTGGTGAATCCATTATGTGCAGACAAAAATATGCGAAGATGATGATGACAATAAAAGAAATAAAAAGTGTTCTTATAGGTACTATCAATACTAATATTATAAAGCTGAAGAGTTTGTTTGTTTGTTTACTTGAACGCGCCAATCTCAGGAACTACCGGTCCGATTTGAAAAATTCTTTCAGTGTTAGATAGCTCATTTATCGAGGAAGGCTATAGGCCCGCTACGAGTAATAGGTGCTGAGCAACATTGAAAAATGGTTTTTATGCGTACGAAGTCGCGGGCACAGCTAATATAATATAACTAATATAATGTGCTATAATATCCATCTGAGGTTATCTCACGTCATTATACAAGTAGCGTTTACACTCAAAACTTTTGGAACTCGCTTCCCTCCCAACTATGTTCGCCAACTATGTGCTAGTGTCACATGTCAGCGCTGTAATAACACCTATTTACCGCCGACTGCGGCGAGGTGGTCATATGAGATAACGTCATGTGAACAATTTAGGGAAATCATTTTATATATTTTAACGCCTACTTTAGTACGTACCTACTCGTATATAGGTACAGGTTTTTTGCTCGAAGCGGCTGGCTAACGGAAGAGTAGGATCGGCGTGGATTTTAAGATACTTCAAAAGTAACTTATCTTTGGATAGGGAAAATTGCATGAAGTCTAGACGCTTCACATATGGCACGATTGAACCCCTTCAAAACAATTAAATTGATTCAAGCTTGTAGCCAACTAAATTGGCCAATTACACGAAGTTCTTCTAAAAAATATGCCTTTAAAAATATTTTTATCGCCAGTTGGCAAACCTAACACACCAATTTTGTTAAATGTTGAAACACTTGTTCACTTTGTCGTGTAGCTACAAATTTCCTTCGAAATTACCCTGCATCCTCCAGCAAAATTAGCACGTTCTTATTCCTTTGCCTTTGCGTAATTAAAAAGTAGTTCGAATTAATTCCGTTGGCGCTTCTTGCGTCGTTTTTAATATGCGAGGTTTGTTCTAAGACCGCATTCGTGCGCAGCCGTTCATTATTCGTTGCGATTAAAACTGGGCGCATATCGGCCACTGTGCCATACATGTGTGTTTGGTGCAAGATGAATGGGAAGCATTTTGGTTTGAATGTTCGCCTTTTTGGAAATTCGAAAAGAGAGACAGATTAATATCTCACTCGTTGTTAACTGGTGTTGATGACCGTATGGATCCGCTGGGAATGGGAAAGCGATCTAGAGCGATCTAAAAAGTCGGTAAACGCGTTAAGTAGGCAGTAATGTAGACTCGCTTCTATATTCGTTATTATTGTTGTAAGTTAACCCAACTTTGGGTTGATTATACTGGTCATCATCCTACAAGCCAAAACTTCTCGATGGAACCAGTTAGTTTAAGCAATCCAACATTGGCAACACTCTTAGCGTTTGCCTTGGGCTTTTCGCAAAGGCAATTTCCTTAAAAACGGTGTTCGATGCTTCAAAGCAGGTGACACGCGTACAGCGCATGACTCAATATCTTATGTCCCCTGGGACAGAGCGTCCCATTTCAGCCCGTTTGAACTTCCCTTCGATTCGCCGCACTCGAGTGCAGTTCGAGGCTACGTCTATTTGATCTTCGCTACCTTAAGATATGGCGACATCCTGTTTTAGGATTTTATAGAAATGTAGAGAATGTAGCATGAAGTATGTAGGTCTATGTCATATAAAAGTGCTTGAACGTATTTACATCTGACCAACAGTACGGCAGTAAGCCTAAAATCCTTGCACTCTACCAGTGGATGTCATAAAAGTTGATGCCACTGAAGAACAAAGCGAGTATCAGGCCTTTTCAACCCGTCTGGCTAACGTGGGGAATGTAGACTGGAACCTCCATTTTCCTCTGGTAAAAACGGTAGAGTTGTTACCCTGCAGTGGAGACTAACATACCTGATAATACTGTATTGTATTGTATTGCTGTAGGAAGGGTTCATCATCATCATCGTCATCATTTCAGCCATAGGTCCTCCACTGCTGAACATAGGCCTCCCCCAATGATTTCCACAGTGGCCGGTAGGTAGGTGGCGGCCTACATCCAGCGCCTTCCTGCTACCTTTATTAGGTCGTCGGTCCACCTTGTCGGTGGACGTCCTACGCTGCGCTTTCCGGTACTTTGCCTCCACTCCAGAACCTTGCTGATCGGTCGTCAATTCAGTCAGTAGGAAGGGTTAATAATATTAAAATTTCTCTTTAGCTTAAGACTTGGGCGTACCGCAATATGGCAGCGGTCCCTGCAAGCGTGTGTTTAATCAGCGGCTGAGGCCGGGACGATCTAAGCAATAAAACAAACGACACGGCGCATAAACAAACGTTAAATTAATATAGTTGCGGCGGAAAGTTCCTGTGTACAGCTGATTGGCCATAAAATAAACAAATGGCCCGGATATTTTTTCAGGAGAGCATTTAGAATAGGCTTCGTGAGATAGGGACAAAACATACTTCAGATGCCAAAACATACTTAATTTGCCAAAAGTTAAAGTATTCACAAGTATGTTACTTATCTGAAATTACGTTTATTTGTTAGAGTAGGCGCACACCGTTGATTTTTCGTCGGCCGATAGTTTAGTCGGGCAGTTGATCAGTATGGGCATGTATGGGAGTGCGCACACTACGCCGATTCGATTTGGCCGATTCTTCATACAATTTGAAATCGGGCACAACTATCGGCCAACTAAAAATCAACGGTGTGCCCCTACTTTTATACTTATAGTTGTCGTAGTCTTAGTCGTGATTATATCTACATACATAATAGTAACACGTCAAGTTCTGCTTAGTTTGGGAGTTTTTGTAACAACCTAAATTTTAACGTGGAATTATTTCCAAAACTAACATGATAACGTCTCTTTTGTGTATTTCTTCCTTTTTTCCTTGTTTTGTATGGTGTAAAATAAAGTTTTATCTATCTATGTAATGGACAGGTATAGGTACAGGGTGAAATCTTGTAATGCCACCTGAAGATAGAAAATTATACTCGAAGAAAATATTCCTTTAATTATTTAAAAGAAAACTGCATTCCAAGATTTTCGAAAATTCCAACTTATATAGCGCGTTACATTGTAATTAATACATTCCATAAAATTATTAAACCATTTCATCGCTATAGGTCCCATTTCGCTTCATAGTTTTGCCATCAAAAGGTTATTGACAGCATTTCGCAGTATAAACATAGGACGTTAAGAACAAAGGCCCCTAAATTACGGTATTTAAGTTTACACCGCGTTCAAAACGCGCCAAATTCCCATTACAATTATCCTATACGAGCACAATTCGAGTGTGTTTCCAGTAATGCGATTACGCGTTCGAAACCATTATTTTGTACTACGTAAGAGGCTTAAGGGTATTTACAGATTCGGCGTTTTAGCACGCATTTTTCCACTACTATGGGGTCGAGGAATGGTAAAGAATAATTATCTTCCATTTCGAAAACTAGTGACAAGTATAAATGGTATATACTCAATACTCCATCGTTTATTGCATAACCACATTAGCATTCACAATAGGTCTTACAATTTATCATCGTTTGAAGCTCATAATTCTAACTTCTATATTCTGTGATTTATTATTATATTAACTAATGACAGTGACTTAAATCAATGTCTGTGCGTCGTATTAACTACCTATTGGATTTTAATTTCATATTTTACCATGTAAACATCTCTCAATCTTTCGCTTAACAATCATGACATTCTTGTATGGTAGAGTTAAACACCCGTATTCACAAACGATACTTGCTTAAGTGAAGCAGAAAATAGAATGCACAGCGTTAAATAGAGTTCTGTGATTGGTTCGTGTGCGACCCTGTGCATCCACGCGTACTGCGGTCTGCGATACCTCATAGTAATCTTTGTGAATACGGGAGTAAGCTAGCAACTTCTAGCTTCATTTTAAGCTACAAAAACAACTAAATAAAACATCTTGTACGAGTTAGAAGAGAGTTCGAACTCGCATCTAGAACGCCCAGTTTGTACATCCTCTATATTGCCCTGGCTTAATAACGACTTAGTGTCAATTACTCCATCGTTTTTATTTATAGAGATGCGCATTTTGTCAGATATTTATTGTTCTGTACTTGCCGTAATAGAAAAGAGATTAAAGAGCTAATGGAAGTGGGCTGTTTGTCTAGGTCTGATTTATTGAGAAAATTATCTGCTTCGGTTCTTGTAACTAGCTGCCAGAACGAAGCTTTGTTCTGACATTATTTTTATGAATGTGGTAGTTGTCTTACCTATAGTCTATACCTAGAGTTTTTGGAAGTCTATCCAAATTATTATTTAAATCTATTCCTTTGTGTTGTTGAAAATTAAAACTATTTAAACTTCGGTTAGACGTTTTTGGGGATTCAACAAAAAAAACCATCTGATGCTAGAGGTAAGTATAATTTTATTTATTACCTGACCTATACAGATCTTAAGCGTCCACTATGATGACAGGGCTGGGCTGGTCGACAATGTTGATAGGTTCAGGGACCACTGCAGGCTGGTCGACGATGGTGATGGGTGCAGGAACCACTGCAGGCTGGTCGACGATGGTGATGGGTGCAGGAACCACTGCAGGCTGGTCGACGATGGTGATGGGTGCAGGAACCACTGCAGGCTGGTCGACGATGGTGATGGGTGCAGGAACCACTGCAGGCTGGTCGACGATGGTGATGGGTGCAGGAACCACTGCAGGCTGGTCGACGATGGTGATGGGTGCAGGAACCACTGCAGGCTGGTCGACGATGGTGATGGGTGCAGGAACCACTGCAGGCTGGTCGACAATGGTGATGGGTGCAGGCACCTCTGCAGGCTGCTCGACGATGGTGATGGGTGCAGGGACTACTTCAGGCTGGCCGACAATGGTGATGGGTCCAGGAACAATTGGCTCAGCTCCTTCGATGCTGATAGCTTGACCAGGGGCAATCTGGGCGGTGTTGATGTTCAAGATGATCTGCACCAGAGGAACACTGGTGGGGCTCTCAGCGGGGGTTTCGACGACGACTGGCTCAACATTGATTGGGTGGAACTCACCATCGTCGACGATGACGGGGGAGGGCACGATGGGTCCATCATCAATGATGACAGGAGAAGGCACGATGGGTCCATCGTCGACGATCACAGGGGATGGCACGATATGTCCATCATCGATAATAATAGGAGAAGGTACGATGCTAGGTTCTTCAATTATAGCAGGTCCAACATGGATAGGTTGGTATTGCCCATCGGGGATGACAGCGGGGCCAATGTGGATAGGCGCAAACTGGTCTTCTACAATGGCGGGGCCAACATGGATCGGCAGGAACCGAGTGGGGCCAGCCACCGCGACGGCGACTACGGCAGCAGCGATTAATACGAACTTCATGTCTGCTGCAAAATTAATTTAAAAATTACACACAAGGGAAAGAAGAACTATAAAGGTTAGATTTTCTAAAAAATTATTGTAAATGATCTGAATCAAGAATTTAATCCTACCAAAGAATTAACTTTATCAACATACCTTTTTTTGTTGGTTATTACCAAACTATGCTGAAATGGCGTCTGCTATGCATTTTATATGAATTATTATCACTTCTCGACAAGGATAATTAATTGCAGATAATCTTTTATTATCCATTAATCCATCACTGATAAGCCGTCAATTTACTGCTTTAGATTAGACACGTCCGCGATTGAAGTAGATCCGATGTTATAAACAATGAATTGTCACTTATTGCAAGCGTATAGATCCTTTTCAAATGAAATTGGTTGCGATTTTAAATTTTCCGAGAAACATGTCCGAAAATTATATGCAAGTTTGATGAACATGAACATATCGATTTTGCCTCATATAATTTATTAGTTATCATCATCATTTCAGCCACAGCCCACTGCTGAATATAGGTCTCCCCGAATGATTTCCAGACTAACCAGTTGGTAGCGACCTATTCCAGCTCCTGTATGTTTCTAGTATTATAACCGCTACATTATGTATTTTATGTGTTCGTATGAACTCATAACAGCACATGATCTATTTAGTTTAAGGCCGGTAACTCTGTTACCAATGTCTCCAGGGTTATTTTAATCACGTTGCGTTTCCTTATTTTTCTTCCATGGTTACATTCTCTAACTTCCCCAGCGATTCCGGAGTGGTTTGAATAGTGCAAAATTCACATTAATTAAATGAGTTTCAAACGTTTCCTCGAGTCTCATGCAATGTTCAAAGACACACGACCGTTGATCAAACACGAAGCATAGTTAATTGTACCTATAACTTATACGTGAGACAGTTGCCACATAGGTACATCAGTAATTTTGTTAAAAAATAGTAACCTTTTTACCATTGTTATAATGCTACAGCGTGAAGCTTGATGTCCATTGAGGTGTACTCGCATTGTTACATTTCTTTGAAAATCTCCTTACTATTACCTAATATTATGTGATTTATTATTAGATTAAAAACAAAAATTGATTTGCACTAGATTAGAATCGTTTGAATGTATTATATCTAGGAATATTGAGTTTAAACATACATTAGTAATGTATTTTATTAACATGGATTAATTAATATCGACTTCAAGATTGGTCATTAATCATTATTAATCAGATAATTCATTTGTTATGGAAACTTGAAGTTTCTTAACTTATCTTAGATTTATATAAAAGCATCATAAATTAAATATCAAAATAAAGAAAACGGAAGAAATGATAAAAATATCTTTGTAACATAATATTTAGAATTTTACATTAGGTACATTGTTTGTGACTTGTATACATTAACTACATATTGCGATAGGTAAAAAAAACTATATTGTAAAATGTACTGTAAAAACTGTAATTGTAAAACAGATGTTTTGCAAAATTATTATGAATACAATCTTTATTCGACTCTTAATAAAAGTAGGTATGATATGTTCGGCGAAACCTTAAGTATTCACTAATACAAATTCACCCTACTATAATACTGCCATTTGTTACAGGAAAATTTCTCGTAGTATAAACCCAAGATGGGGTATTACAATACAAACTCCCTCGGGACAAAATTAACGAACCTAAATAAAAGGAATTTACAATTTAATTTCCTCATTTCGGAAGGGGAGGCTAATTATTAGATACACAACGTTTCTTGTGAAAATCCATTTTTTTGTTAAAAACCGTTTTCATTTAATTTACGATTGTAGCGTTAAGTTTCTTGAAGAAATGTTACTTACTATATTCTCATAATTAACTATTATATCTTAATATACCTATCTTTTCAGCCATAATAAAGTGCATTCAACATATTATTAAATTTTATCAATCATCATCATCATTTGAGCCAGAGGACGTTCACTCTACCAATAATTTCCACATCGCCGGGCGGGCGTCCTTAAAAATAGCACAGATAACATAATCATTAGCCATGGAATAATAATAAAAAATCGTATTCCAAAATGGAGAAAGAAAATGTCACTAATTGCTGACAACATGTGGTAATTTTCTACCAAATGATTGATTTTGTAAAAAAAAATCAGTTTAAAATCAGCATAAAGATGAAATCCACACATGCATACGTAGGGGACTGGGTACGGTTACTATGGTTGAAACAATTTCAATTTCGCCTGGTTCAAAGGGAATTATGAATTAAAAAATATCATTTTTCATTGGCTACGGACTCGTAAATCATTACACATAATAACCTCGGACTCGGTAAAAAGTCCAACGAACCAATAGCAGAAAGCTTATGCGCTAATGCTTAGTCCGCATTCGCCCTGGTGTCAAAGAATAATAAACAGAAGTAAGCAAAATATAGTGTCTTTTGTTCCTTCGATGGATAACTTGTTGAATTAGTAGAGAGAGAACTACGAGTAGGTCATTAGTTAGAACACTGGTAGGTACCTATATTATATTGTTTTCAGTGAAGACAATACACGAGAAAAAATACTATTCACAAAACTAACTGTAAACGAATCTTAGAAGATGCCATTGAATCCACCTAATATATAGATATAAGTAAATTAAATAATAAGAGTGCAGCCGTAAACGCAAGTTTATTAATATTAATGTACAAAAAGCTAGTAAAACAACAGAACAAAATTAATTGAAACAAAAATGTAAGCTAAACGCAAAGTTAGACGCTTCTTAAGGGATTAACATCGGAATATCTATAAAACTAAGTTATTTATAAATGTAGGTATCAATAACATGCATAATAACTTACTAGCTACTAGCAGATAATAGATAACCTGCAATAAATTAGGCACTAAAGATATTTCCCTAATTTTCACAGACGATTCTGCGTTCATATTGTTTGCCAATTGCGGCAAGTCTTTGCTCGAATTAAATCGCATGCAAGCCGGCTAATTGCGGCAAAGCATTACTTACCCATTTATCAGATTTAGTGAATGCGAGCGATCATTACAGCTGTTCCACCGCGGAACTTATTCGTGGGTAATCGGCACAAATTATCTTTTGATTGCTCTTTAAATAGTGTGACTGTTCTGCGTTTTGTATTTATCATTGATTGGTTTTTATTTATTATTAAGGCGATTACATGGCCNTTATTATTTTATTACTTACATTATGTATTTTTACCGCTACTTACATTATGTATTTTATATGAATCGTATTAATTCATAACAGCACAAGATCTATTTAAAAAGGCCGGTAACTCTGTTACCAATGTCTCCAGGGTTATTTTAATCACGTTTCGTTTCCTTATTTTTCTTCCATGGTTACATTCTCTAACTTCCCCAGCGATTCCGGAGTGGTTTGAATAGTGCAAAATTCACATTAATTAAATGAGTTTCAAACGTTTCCTCCACTCTCATGCAATGTTCAAAGACACACGACCGTTGATCAAACACGAAGCATTGTCTAACTCAGGGTTTCCCAAACTATGGGTCGCGACCCAGTGGTGGGTCGCGAGCAAACATTGAGTGGGTCCTGCCTGTAGAACGACACACCACTCTACTGATCCAACCGCTGAGCAGCGGGCGACTGTCAGCCGCCCGGACGGATTGTAATTTGAAAAGTCCTTTATTTAGGTATATTGGTAACGGTTAGTTATCCTATGGGTGGGTCCCGAGTTTGGGAACTTGTATAAATTAGTAAAACATTAGTAATGTTTTTTATTAGCATGGAGTTATTAATATCGACTACATAAGATTGGTCATTAATTAATCATTATTAATCAGATTATTCATTTGTTATGGAAACTTGAAGTTTCTTAACTAATCTTAGATTTATTTATAGGCATCATAAATTAAATATATCAAAATTAAGACAACGGAAGAAATGATAAAAATGTCTTTGTAACATAATATTTAGAATTTTACATTAGTACATTGTTTGTGACTTGTGTACATAACTGCATGTTTCGATAGGTCAAAAAAATATAATCTTTGTGGAAATCCTTGGGAGGTCTTTGTCCAACAGTGGACGTCTTTCGGTTGAAACGAACGAATGAAACATTTAAGTATTCACTAATACAAATTCACCCTACTATAATACTGCCATTTGTTACAGGAAAATTTCGCGTAGTATAAACCCAAGATGGGGTATTACAATACAAACTCCCTCGGGACAAAATTAACGAACCTAAATAAAAGGAATTTACAATTTAATTTCCTCATTTCGGAAGGGGAAGCTAATTATTACACAACGTTTCTTGTGAAAATCCATTTTTTGTTGAAAAACCGTTTTCGTTTACTAATTTACAATTGTAGCGTTAAGTTTCTTGAAGAAATATTACATAATAGTCTCATAATTATATCATAACATTTTTGATGTGTACTTTGTATTAATTTCTATAATAATCCAAAATTTTCATTCTTATCAATCATCATCATCAGTGGGTTTCAGCCAGAGGACGTCCACTCTCCCAATAATAATAGCACAGATAACATGTCATTCAATAGCCGTGGAATCATAAAAACCATCTATTCCAAAAAGGAGAAAGATAATACCACTAATATAACAACATGAGTTAATTAATAATTACCTATAAATTTAATAGATAAATAATTTAATTTATCAGCATAAAGAGAATGGAATTATGCAATGTGTAACCTACTAATTAAGAGAATATCCGATAAATTTCGCTTGGTTCAAAGGGAAATATGAATTAAAAAATATCATTTTTCATTGGCTACGGACTCGTAAATCATTACACATAATAACCTCGGACTCGGTAAAAAGTCCAACGAACCAATAGCAGAAAGCTTATGCGCTAATGCTTAGTCCGCATTCGCCCTGGTGTCAAAGAATAATAAACGCAGAACTCAAAAGTAACAAAAAACCTAGTGTCATACCTTCGCCGAATCGCTTATTGCATTTGTAGAGAACTAGGTCTCAAGACTCTCAAGTTATTACACTGGTAGGTTTTGTTTTCAGTGAAGACTTCGCACAAGAAAAATAAATTGGCTATTATTTT